GTGTGACTTAAGCGAACCGATAAGGTGTCATTCAAGTCTTCCTGTTTCTTTGATTGAAATGTGATGTTCACGAAAGTCGCCTCGATGGATAAGAGAGAATTAATAAACATGGCTGTGGTATTTGTTTTTCGCTGAGTTCCGTAGTTTTTTTATAAATTGTCCTCCAAAGTTGTCTCAAATTAAAGTCTTCAAAAGTGTCACGACAGGCCTTCGCTCGAGTGAAATTTCATTTCCGTAAAACTTTGAAAAATAAAGAGATCCGATCAAACTGATTAAACAAGAAATGAGGGAAGTCTGTGTCTCAAGCAAAATTGACCGGACCGCTTTTACAGAGACACACTCTTAAGAGCTTGTCTACGAGAAAACCAAACAGAACCGGGCAGGGGCGATAATGCTCAATCACCGATTTGGATCAAACTTGCACAGATGCTAAGTATTACGAGTTAAATGTGGGAAAACCCCAATTGCTTGCACTTTTTGCACAATTAATTAGCTAACTTTGCATTGCTGCTGTGACAAACCGAGAAGCCATTTTTAAATTCAATCAACTGGGTTGTGTCCTATATCTATCAGACTTCAAGAAAATTGAACTGTTTTAACTCTTTCATTTCATACCTCTCCCTTAAGTAACGACGGTTTTTTCAGGTGTCGACAAAGTCCAAAAATAAGGATATTTTAAGGCCCAATATCTTAGATGACCAACTAATTCTGATCATAATTCCTACATGGGCAGTGAATGCCATCATTGAACTTCCAAAATCAGCAATAAAATTTTGGGGCAAGTGATTTCATTACCCGTTCTGACGTAAAATTGATATCTTACCAACCGCTTTTGGTCTGTATTCATCAAAATACCGTAAACCACTTGTTTTATTACCTTGAAAATAACTTGACATTTACAAGAAAATTCCTAGAGAGTATCATTTACACAAGAACGAAGAGAGAATCTTTGAATTGTGCAAATCGAGCCCTTTTTGAGAACTTTTTTCGCAGCCATATTTGGATTATTCTCGAGTAAACGCAGCAGTTGATGATGAACATCAAGAGCGCATGTAATCGAAGTCTTTGACCACAGAAACCTATCCAAAAATGAGCCGATTATTACTGATTTTGGAAGTCCAGTGATGCCTGTCGCAGCCCGTGTAGGAATTATGATCAGAAGGGGTTGGTCATTGGAGATTTTGGGCCTTTAAATACCATTATTTTTGGACATTGTCAAAACCCGAAAAAATCGTCTTTTTTGTTACGCGTATCACGTCTAACGTACGGTGGTACTGTAAAATGACACTGACGAGATTAATTTTTTCCGTCGTTGAATTCTCTTCAGTCACTCAAAGCCTGTATGCATACATAAGAACCGATTCTGCAAAAGGTGTGGCGTTTAAGCTTGACAGAGGTCGTTATCACGGTGGCTGGATTCATCAGTTCACACTAGAAGCTCAACAAACCAGGAACAACTCTACTGAATTAATGTATTTTATTTACCCGGCTTTCTGCAAAAAGAGTATATCTCGCGACATTCTCTTACATGGATTCTGGTGCTTACCTTTTGACTTTTTTTACACTTCAATCACTCCCCGAGAAGGTTACCGTAAAGTGCTGCTAATCAGTCGAGACAAAGATTCACCTCTTGAGATTGCCTTGGGTGTGAGCCAAACTTGCTGCGATCACTCGACACAAAAATGGTTTTTCGCGAATATTTCATTTATTTCATTACTCGGTGGGTAGAATTCTTTAAGATTTAAGACTGGTGTGAGTGTTGTGATGATTGATTAAAAAATAAACTTTCGCTGGAAAAGAGACTGGAACTTCAATATTGAACTATGTGAGGCAAAATTCGGTTGAAAAGAAATAGACCCAAATTAGCTTCTATCCTGTTGTCATCAATAACAAAAATTTGATTCTAAACACCGCCTCGTTGATCAGTTTCATTTCTCCTTTAACGCTTAAAATGCAAAAGACGCTTTAAACCAAACTTCAGACCAATAGGAGCTTCAATCTTTTTTTTTATGTTATTTGTTTTGTTGTTGATCATTTGTTTTGGGAGCAAATTTTTACGAATTTCTGAAATTTAGAGTAACTTTTGCCATCCATTTGTATATTGAATTTAGGGAACTCTTTTACTGGGCGACCAACAGACAAGCCGTTGCACGCGGATTTCATCGGGACGTCTGCCCAAGTTGTTGATGGAAATATTGCTTCTTGCTTTACGATGAAACGACTGATGGTATGAAATCTATTCCATTTTCTTTATTTTCTTTGCTCGCTTTGTTGCTTTATTGTAGAATTAGTGCTGGCTATTTCTTCACTCGTCAGTTTTAATTCAAGTTATGAAGACTGACTTCTTATTAATCTCATTTCGCTTAGTCAAGCAGCGAATCACTCTGGTGGAGTGTTACTTTGAAAGAGAAGGCATTTGTTTACAAAATGTGGATTATAAACAGGCCAGACTGCTGTTTAGAACAATTTCCTTACCTTCAAGTTACTTTACAAAGCGATAAGGAATCTGCCGTAGCAAACTGCGACGTTTATGATTGGAGGACAGAGCATAAGAGGTTGATGATGTGCGAACCGTCTATGATGGCAACGAACGTAACCATATCGGCTGACGATGTCGCCAATTTTACACTTTGTGAGGTTATGTTTACTGTCACAGGTAGGAGGTTCCTACCATCCGAAGAGTTAGAGGAAAAGTTAAGAGAAGTAAAGTCATAGTAAAGGAGGTTGCAGTGGAAGTACTAGAAGGGTCTTGGGAGATGGTAATCCACGTATCGTTAGTCACCTACTTCTTCTATGTCGCTTTATGTCAAGAATGCAAACATCATTTTCTCTGGTACTCTTCTGTAGACGTTACTGAGCAATTTCTTTTGAATCTAGCATTTTAGCTTTCAAAAGATGTCGTGATCAATTCAGTCGTGATCATTAAACTCAAACCCCGAAGAACTTTATCTAGCCTTAAATTTTGATAGTTAGCAGGAAAAGGATCTTCATTTTAACGATCATTTCCGCTTTTCTACAGGCTATGATTTAACTGCTCATGGAGTTCGTCGAGAACTTTGGAATCAGATACCCTCTGCAAAACTAGAAAGTTTGCTAGATGACAGGAGGTTTCCAAATAGTCCAGATGCTGTTACGATTCTTCAGAATTTAGACATTTGGATTAGTTTCCTCTCCAATTATGGACAGCGGCTCACAGCATATCTTCAGGTATGTCTAGAACAAATTTGCAAATTAACGGGGCAATCAATAATGTTTGACAAATTTCCTTATCATAATAATTCATGTGAAGCTTTACAGTGATTCAGTGCGTTTAACTACCTTTTATGAGAGTCTCACCTCGCTTCGTCTTCGCATTTCATGCACATTCAATTTTCTCGAAAGGTTCCAGAAAGCGGAAACTACACATTTTACATTGCTTGTGACGACGCTTGTCAGCTTTGGCTTCACATGCCTCAAGTGAACTACTTGACCGATGAAAGCGACAACAAGACTGTTAAGAAGCGTATGGCTGAGTTGAAACCGGGCTACTGGACGGAACGTAATCAGTGGGATAAGTAAGAACCATTCTTTTTATTATGTATTTCATACCTATTCTCTATCTCACCGATTGTGTGTAAGTCGTTAGATTACTATTTGTTTGTTTGCTTTTTGGAATGGAGGAACCGATGAGATTAGAGGGAGGATCGACAACTCGTTCCATGATGCTTCTAAGCCATATATTTACATGGGGATCATTATGAAATTAGTGGATAAATACAAAGCAAATGATTAATTGAGAGAAAAGGTAAAGTGAATGTTTTCAATTTTTGTCCCTTCTGTGTTTGGGCAGCTAAACACTACAGGTAAGCTGTACTGAAAGTGTTTGTTCGAGTTTTTGTCCGAGTTTGTCACATTGTCAATAGCGGATCGTCAATCGATAATCTTTCGCGATGCAAAAACAATAGCAGCGAAGACTCAAGATGATTGCTTTTCGGTCACAACCGAAATAACAATTTTGGAGCCGCTTTTTATTTGGGAAAAAAAAGCAAGGGATACAAGTGCTCAGTTTAAATGTAACAATGTTTCAAAGCTGTAGAATTGTTTCATCAAATTAGGACTATTATCATATCATAAACAAAGTAACGGGGCACCTCACCTGTTGCTGACATTTTTTAAGTTGTTGGCCGAGGTGGTGGCTTGTCCGCCACCTCTTATCTTCATTAAAACCGCAAGCAGAAAAAGTGGCGAATTCTATGCTGCAATCATCTATTTAAAAAGTGAAATCTTCGACTTTTATAACATGGTGTTCTTGTCGGCTTCTAATTCATGGTGCATTCTAAGTAGACGCTAGACTGCGTTAATGAGAGAGCGGGGGATTTCCACGCTTTACTGCGCATCCTCCCATCGTATTTCGTCTTCTTTTTGGTGAGTGATGGTGCGTTACATCATTCCAAGCTGTCGCACGATAGTCAAAATTGATTTTGGATAAATTTGCTTCGTAAATGGCGGTCTTAAGCAGCTTGCATGACTTTTAACAAGTCTGATGTGTTCTCTTTCGACTTTTCCCCTTTTATCTTCCTTTTGCCCACCCTTCTAGTTTCGGTGCTTCTTTTTGTGTTTTTACTTTCATTGTCATGTATCAGTTCTTTAATACATTCGTCGTCGACTTCAACAAATCGGGAGGCCATTATTCTGGAAAATTTTCCCGGCAACAATCTCAACATGAACGTAAACGTTTCGTGAAAAGAAATTGTTTTTATGAAAGTTATTTGAACCTTTTATTTCCGGAGAATTTCACTAAGGTGACGAGCGTCCCATTCGACGGAAACCGGCCGCGGTATGTACGTGTAAAATACTGAAATGTAGTGAAACCTCCCGTGAGCGACCGCCCGAAATCTCAAGTCTGGGTGGTCGCTTACGGGAGGTGGTCATTTACCAGAGGTCAGGCTACAGGGCGGTCCATATTTCGGATAATATACATATGGTAACCGAACCCTCATCGAAACCTATAGTAATAACTTTAACGGCTTATTCAAAGAAAAAAATTGTTTGGACCTATGGTGATTATTGTTTGTATCGCAAGAAACATCTCTAGTAGCTCCACTTTTACGAAATATGTTGAAACAGTTTTCAGTTTTCGCTCGTGAGAGATAAAGCCGATTGTCTGTCAAGTAATCGCCTACGGGAGGTTAATGAGAGGTGGTAGCTGAGGAGAGTTGGTCGCTTACGAGAGGTTGTCTTTATAGTGATTTGACTCGGAAACTTTTGGTATTTTAAATAAAGTGGTTGCTTACGAGAGCAGCAAGGAAAAGAACACGAAGATTAAAACATACAATAGTATTCGCAACATCTCATCAATAACCGTCGCTAGTAAATTGCACATAAGTGTCTGTCTGAGAAAGTGTTCCAGGGGGCAGAAGTGGTAGTCATCCGATTGGACTGAAACTTGGCACAAAAGTTAATTGTGATAAGAGATTTCAATTCAAAAGCTACTTTGGCTCAGTTCTCTGACTGTTTGTTCTGGAGTTTCGGGGGGTCCCATTTGTGGCCTGTGGAACACCAAACATGCATCCTTCTAGTTGGCATTTTAAAAGTGCTATACAACTCCATTGGTAAACAGTGCTGCCAAACGATTTTCACAATGAACTCTACTATAGTGGAGCTTTTACTTCCTAACTACAACTCTGCTCTCAAGTGATTAGACAGAGAGGGGCCTGGGGAAAAAGTTAAGTCAAATTTGAGGTAAAAATTATTACCCAAAATTGCCATTTATCAAAAAACCGTAACACTCACCTGCCTTCTTGCATAACTTTCATACCAAATCCAGTATGTACTTTAGTGACCCATTTATCAAAATCAGTTGAGAAAAATTTGGCTTATTGAAGTTTGTTAGGTTTTCGACATAGACTCTCCATGCCCCTCTAGGGCCAAGCAAAATGGAGTTTTCTGCGTAATTCATGCCATAAACAGACCAAATTCTTGACATAAGGCCTTTATTTTGTATTAGGTGAGTTAAAATGAAACAGTAAAGCCAATCCAGCGTCATTCTCTAAATATACCTCGACAAATGCACTGAGAAGGCCTCTGATTAGCACTACAAACACCCGGGTTTAGCAAATAAAGGTAATTTTTTTTCTTTGAAAACCTAGTACCCCTCATAGAGCACAAATGATGATGTCCTCACCGAGATATCACAATCCTTTTTTTAGAGATGCTTGAATTTCCTCTGATTTATATTTTTCAGGTCATATTTTCATACATACTATACTCACAAGCATGCAAAGTCTCTGTATTTTGTCGGACTCACTTACTGATGCAGTATGAAGTGAGCTTAACGAAAACGACCGTTAACAGAAGATCTATGGTTAAACTTTTGATAGCCTTGCTAGCTCTTGTAAATACGCATGATGGCATCAGTAAAAGAGCAGGATGATACATACAAGTTGTAGTGAGTAGCGTCCAGCTGATTTGTGATCCATCCGATATCTCTGTTACGTTTAAGAATTGTTTCATGCTTAGCGTGCGTCTATCGAGCTATGGATG